GAAATATTCAGATATTTATAACATAATATATGTAAATGCAAATCATATATCTATTAGATATATACAAACAGATATATGTACATATATAATACAACTATTTAAAATTTAAGTAATTGAATTTTATTCAAAGTAGTTTTCATACAAATAAATATTTTATCTTATTGTTATAAATCTATGGAATGTAACATTACTACTTGAAATATATAAAAGTCATTATTTTATTACAGATTGTGTACATTTATAATTTAATTTACTAGTAATATGCAGTATTATTTAAAGCATAAAGTAACAAAAGAAAATATAATAAATTATTAAAAAATAAAAATGATTATTTACAATAAAATTAATTTATCTATATTGTCTAATTATGCAAATATAAATATTTTCATTAATATATAAATAAATATTATTTGATCTAACTCTGTTAATAAATATTATCCATAAGTTAAATATTTCTATAGAAATACAAATAGTAAAATTTTCAAAACATAATATACATATTTATGCACATATTTACACTGCAAAACATACATTTTGTGTTTTTGTACTAAGTAAAATATTTAATAAAAATCTATATTTTAATAATTTGTTTGAAATTGTTTTTGAAATTGACTTGTAAGTAATAATTATAAATTTATAAAATAGTATGCTTCTAATTTTGTTCTTTTCCATTGATGTTAAGCATTTTCAATCAACTTAAAACCTTTTAGATAATATTCATTTTATATTGATATAGCTGTAGCTCTAACAGCAGCACTTAATAAAGGATTTGGGTCTGGTTCTTCTGTTAGAATATTAACTTTTACCCATTCCCGTCGTTTATTACTCTGTCGCAATGCATCAATAACTGCTTGTACATATAAACCATCTTCAAAAGATGATGCAGAAAATACTGGTTCTTTTATCCATCCTTTTTTATCTTCAACAGATTGAAAAGCTTCTCTTAAAGCAACAATCATTTTTCTTAAACCTTTAATATATGGTCTTGGTATAGAATCAGCAATTGGGAAAGATATATCTTGTAAATCATCTGTATCATGATATAATATTTCTTCTTGTCCATTATGGCAGCCATGCAAATCTCCACCACGTGCAAGAAGATGATTACCACCTCCACATATTAATACTTCTTGAGAAAGTTGACCTTGTAAATGATTACTTAATGTTGCTGTTACTAATGTGCCACCACTCAATTCCATTTGAAAACTACAAAAATCTGGTGATGTAACATGTCTAATCCCATTTATATGTCTTGTGGTTTGAGTAAAAGTCCGGACTACCGCATGTACCCTTGAAGCGCGTTGACCAATTAAATGAAAAATTAAATCAATTACATGACTTCCAACTAAGGCTAAAATTCCTCCTCCCATTATATCATCACATAGCCAATCATATCCTATAACAATAAGCATAATTATATTTCATACATACTTCACTAATTTAGTATATAAAATGATATTCTAACCATCATGTAATAAACTACCCATATGTACTCTAACTTCAATCACATTTACAGGTCCATTTAAATATCCTTCCTCTAAAGCTTTCTTCATGTGAACAAATGCTGGTAAAAATCTTAAACTATGATTAACAATGCTTATTAAGGAAGGATAATATTGTGCAGCTCGTACCATTTTTAAAGCTTCACTTTGACTTAAACCTGCAGGTTTATCACATACAACATGTTTTCCTATCCCTAATGCTTTAACTGCAATTTGTGCATGCAAGCTAGGAGAACACATAATAAAAATTAAATCAACATCTTTTCTAAGAAGTACATCATCAATTCGACTAGTATGAAATGGTATTTCAAGATCAGTTGCAACTTCTGATACTTCTGCTAATGTACGTCCCCATATAGCTTCAATTCTAAAGCCCTTCTCTCTTAAAAAAGGAATAATTATCTTGACAATACTTCCTGTACCAAACACTCCAATTCCAGGTAATGTCATGCTGTACTGTTTTTATATATTTTTATAACTTAAATTATGCTAAATAATATTATTAATGATATTTATTCGTTTCAATTTAGACTTAAAACAATTTTAGTAACGTTACAATATATTTTTCTTGTAGATATGTTTTATTTTGTTAACTTAACGTGTACAAGAAATTTTACAACCACTACATTATAACAATATGCAAACACACATCATACTATATGTACCATATTTTAAGGGTGGTATTTCATGTATGTTCGATTTACAAATTATATTACAAGATTTTATTTAAATGAGAGAGAAAATACATGCCACATGGCATTGAATAACAAATGTAATTTGTCATTTAGTATTAAACCGACGAAATAAAATTCATTTGTATTGTAGCAAATAAATATTTTTAATGTTGTTAAATTTTAGTGGGTAAAGTGATCTTCATCGTTAAAAATATTAAAATATTCATAATAAACGTAGTTTCAATTAATTTATGATTTTTATTAAAAAACGAACATTTGTATTTTGTACACAATATGAACAGGGCTTTCCAAAGTATATTGTGGACAAAACAATAGATTTCATTTACCTTTTTTTATCATTGATTTTCCGAAGAAACTCGAAACAAACCGAACATCAACGATGATTATACCCTGCGCTAACCTGTCAGTTTGATTTGCGCAAATATGATGGTTGTCTGTCATATCCGCTTTGTTTAACTACATATTTAAATATGTAAATATGCAACTAAATCATACAAATCAGTGGTCACAATACTACTTTTTATCTTAAACTTTTGTAGGTGTATAAGAATTACAAATTTTTAAACGTGTAAAAGATGTCGGAAATTCGTAAAAGAACAGTTGGAGATACATCGGCAGAAACGCGGGATATCAGTGATGATCAGGTAAATGAACATTTTGTGCTTTTAAAACTTTAATAGTACAATAGTTTCTTCTTTACATCATTTAATATTTCCAATTATTAAGCATAATTGATTGTAAATTAATCTTTATCTTTCACAATATACATATTAAACTAAACCGAATGATGATTCTGACAGCTACTAACACTAAATCATCATGTCCAAACTACTACATTAATATCATTTATTACAATGTATTTATAAATATATTAAATGTATATATTTCATCATATACTGTGTATGATTATTTTTTGAACTTTTTTTATTACATCATATGTCTATTAATCTATTAATTAATTATATTTATACGAACTTTCGTTACTAATTATATTTTTGTATATTATTATAGTTCACATAAAAATTATTTTGAGAAAAGAATAATATTACATTTTTTATATTTTTAATACATGATATTATTGTTTAATTTATAAATGTAAATATAAAAAAATATCTACAAATATATATGCAAATATATATTTA